CTTTTAGCTTTATCCTGGATCACATGGATCCAGCATCAGATTTATTTTGTATGATATGTAGATACATTATTATGTGTCAATGTAACACTACCAGGTACCATATTTGCCGGCGTATAAGACGGGTTTGGAGACCTTAAAGTGACATTAAACCCTCAGATTTTTTAACATAAAACAATACTGTAATGTGCGTCTTACTGTAATCCATAAAAGAAATAGACACCGGCACTCCAATAATAAATCGATTACGTCTATTTATTGACGTACATCAAATTTCGGCTACATACAGTATACCGCTGAGCCAATCACGGCAGGCTTTGTATTAATGAATGCAAAGCCTGTATTCATTAATACAAAGCCTGCCGTGATTGACTCAGCGGAAAGACGGAGGACACAGCGGGGACCGTGGACAAGGTAAGAGACTGTAATCCCGAGTGTGGATGTTAGTGGGTGTATTTAAACATTATTTTGGGCTATACTCGTCTTATACGACGAATATAGCCCAAAACTTATATTTTAACACAAAAAGTAGGGGGTCGTCCTATACGCCGAGTCGTCTTATACGCCGGCAAATACGGTATGTATTACCTCTCACAGTGCTCCCCCTGACAATGGCTGCTTTTCTCTCCAGAAGGATGGCACCAGTCTGATCACTGGGGGAGGGGAGACTGATGAAATGCTTCCTCCTGCCTGCAGCAGACTGATGACTTCTCAGCCTAGGCAAAGTCACCCCCCTGCAGCAGACTGATGACATCTCAGTCTAGGCAAAATCACTGGATTGAAACTCAAGGGCTGCATTTTAATGATACAAGGTGAAGCCTTTTTGAAAATTGATGCTGTTGCTGTGCAATGAGACATCAGGACCTCATCAGGTTGCTGTATTTTGTGATATTCACGCCAGCTTGTATAAACATTGGCCGAGCAAACTAATTCCCTTCCGATCATCCAGAACATACCCGACTTATTTTATTATTTCTTCAAACTGCCAAGCTGCAGAAGTGATGGCTTAGTGGTTAAGAGCCCCCATCTATGACACTAAAAGGCAACTCTGAACTGCCAGCCTGTA